AGGAGTTGCAATGATAGTAATGCCAGTGTCATTTAGGAAGAGCAAACATTGAGAGAATGAAATGGAAGTGCGAAAAGTGTAAAAATTATTTCGAAACTTTAATTAAGAAGGGCAAACGAATAATATACTCACGCCAGTATGATTGATTCTGAATCATCCTTAAATATTCCCAACCATCAGTCACAATTATTTAACGGACCCTAAACAAGTTGTATACACACCTTGTAGCTTGACCCAAGCTAACAGTCAACAACTTTATCATGATTGACCATGTTTGATGGGATGCACTAAGAACACCATTCTCATTATTATTAGATGATATATGGATTCAATAAGGTTGGAGTTGAAAGAATAACTAACTGAAAACAGTGAATGAAGACCATGTATCTTTTCATGAAAGTAACAAGGGTTTAAAATTCTAAATTCAATTCCACATTTGTCTCTGATTACGTGATAAAAAATACACCATTCACATTAAAAGAGTTATGATCATAGTATCTTCAGAACATACAGTCTCTTCCTATTCAACAAATGTATGGCTGGTGTGAGGACAGTCCACGGGTGAACTCGAAGAAGCTCTAGGAAGCTCAGAAAGAGCCGGAAATATTCCATCCGATCATCTTTTGGGTGAGAATATTCTAGAATCCCTACGTGTAGCTTCTCTATTGGACAAATGCTAATAACTCCCTGTGTGCGGATTGGATAACTATAATAATGATTTTGTTTTTACTAAACACTATAAATACCTGACAGTTTTGTACTATAATTGACACTGTTTGGAATAACATTCCTTCACTTGCCTTCTGTCTTCTAATTTGCGACTTGGGAGTGTTCCACCGTCCGAGTGCTGAATTCATACGCGGTATATTAAGAATCTAAGCTCTAGATATAACAGCTGGTTTGTTTTATTCACCATGCATCCATATAAATATTAAGACTGTTTGATTAATTTTGTGGGAGTTCATTATTGTTTACATGTGAAAGATTTATTCATTTCATTGCTAATGTTGTGGTGTGGGTTACTTATATCCACATAAGTAGTATATAACGGTGGTCAGGCATAAAATGTATTTCAGTAGAAGATCGATAAGGAAAGAACGGGAACGGAACACAATTGGTATGAAAACGCATGAACAATGAAATCTGAGACAATGAGCTGATATTTGTAAAAGAACAGTCAAATTTGAAACGATGGATTGATATTTTGCAAATAAACTATTTATTATATGGTTCTCAGATTTTATTGAGATGCTCTGTAATTTTGTGTCAAATACATTCGATTGCCACCCGCTCGTGTTCTTGTTCACTACAATGTCACCATAGAAACATGAATTCTTTAGAACTATTTCTATCTTTTAGTGTATTTGGATTGTTTCTTGCAATCGAATCCTGGAATACACGTCTCATCTTGTTTGTGATTGGCTAATAACATTTCCACCTATTCCAGTATTGAGGTTTACATTGAAACTTGAATCCAGTACTTATCACTTTAAACGTCACTGCTTATGAATACTAACCTTTATTAAAAGAGACTGTTTATTTCTGAGTCTAGTTCGTATCAACTGTGATTGTATTTAATAATGATTAGAAATGAAACCCAAAAGGCTCATTCTCTTCTTTATTTTATTTTTATTGACTGAATTGGCTTGCTTTACACTAATGACAGTTTATAATGAGACTTAAAAGTGGAATGCAACCCACTTGAAATAGATGTCCCTCTTTCACACATAAGAATATAGATTAAACAACCTCTTTTAATATGTAATTGTGCAGTATTATGTGATCTATAATCATAAGTATCTACACTGTGGAACAGTTTCGTTTACTCCTTGCCTCTTTTCAACTCTCAAGTTCAGTATCTTTTCTTACTTATCGAATCGATCTTATGTAGGATCACTGATATATGTACTCCATTGGGAATTAATAAACTAGGATATAACAAATATTCAGTTCTTTTTTTTGTTATCGAAAGTTCAGTCCTGTCGATATCAGTTTATGGAGATATTAATCATTGAACCTAACAATTTTAAGTGTGAGGAATTTATATATAGATGAAATTCTTTAATCATCTTTACATTAATTCATATTTGTTTTTAACTATTTTAGGATATTACAAATAAAACACCATTAATGAAAGCTGCACGTAGTGGTAAAGTATGGGCTGTTCGACGACTTTTACTATTTGGTGCTAATGTAAATGTAAAAGATCGTAATGATGAAACAGCATTACATTTTGCTTGTCGACAAGGATCTACAGAAATAACTAGAATGTTAATTAAAGTGAGTTATTCTATTTTGTTATAATAAATTTGTAGTGATAAGTTGAATATATAAGAATTAACAGTTCGAATTCCGTTAGGTTGATGTATATGAATGGAAATGTTATTTCAGTCATCAAGTGTTATGAAATCCTGATGATATTGTAATGTGATAGTTATAGCATGTTATTAACTAACCATCTCTTTGATAAGTCTGCATACTGAACGCTCACAATCTGAATTCTTAACTGCTTCTAATAAAATCAAACTAAATCTACACGCTAATTTGATGAACGTACGAGAAAAGGCATGAATTATAAAAGGTGAAGACTATTGATAAAGATTTATCTGACTCTCAAAATGAATCCAAAAATGATCTTCTCAGAAGAATTTGTTAAAGTTAGATATTAACACCATTGCATGTCAACGCAGTGGTCTACAGGTTAAGCGTTAGCGCTCGCGAGACCGATAGGTCCTGGGTTGAAATCCAGCGAGCAGGATCGTGGATGCTCACTGCTGAGGAGTCCCGTACTAGGACGAAACGGCCGTCCAGTGCTTTCAGATTTTCCATGGTGGTCTAGCTTTAATCGACCCATGAATTCAACTATTTAATTCAGTCAGACAGTCTTGAGTGCTGTTAGAGGTATGAGGGCTGTTATCACTTCCCGGTTGCCCACACCGTGGAAGGGTTGTTCTGGAGGCACCTGAAAAGGAAATTGGGTTAGAGGTGGTCTTAGTAACCTGAGAGCGTGACCGCAGTGTCCAAGAAACAACTGCTTGAGGTCGGTCATACACGACCTTTTATGAGCAGTTTTCCTGTTAGCTCCGTACTTATTGAGACCTTACCGCTGGAGACGGATATCCGTGGGATAAGGCGAAGTGTGCAGTTTTAGAGTCGACATTTTCTAACCCCGCTCATTCTTGTGAAAAGACAGCATCGCTGTTATGCTGGTTGTCTGAAGGAAACAACTTACTGCCGTCGCACCTCTGTACAGTATGGCTTCGTCTTCGGACCTTGGGTTTGCCGTTTTTAATCTTATCGTCCTTCAACCGACCTGTCTGACATGTTAGGACCTGGAGGAACGATTGTTCCAGCCAATGTAGCTCGATTGGTTCATCACGATATGTAAGCCCGACCACCACGTCAAGGTAGCAACAACAGTCGGCAACTATTAAATTAAAAAATGATTTCTCAATATACCACATTTTATGTGATTTATTTAAAGTTAGATTTGTATGAATTGAATTTACTTGTATTTAACATTAACCATTCAGTAACTTTCTATATGAAGAAATATTTACTATGTTGTGCACTCAAGCATCTATAACCCTTCTTAAGATATGAATACATGTTATTTAATTGGAAGAAAAACTTAATTTCACATGTCATTCACACCAAACGATTTACTCACTGAACAACCTTCACGGAATACATTCAAGGTACTGGAGCCGATGTTTTAAGATGGTGACATTAACTGAATTATTATCACTGTACCAGAATATCGATTACTAGAATTTTGTTCTATAATTACACAATCTCTCTACTCATCACAATAATAATTAAACAACAACGATTATTGAACACAAACGATTACTAGGCATTCTAAAAGTCAATTAGTCGGATTTTATAAATACAAAATAAGAAATACTCTTACCAACCTTTTTAAGGCTAGAATAATCTCATGACAATACCAAAGGTAACCCATGTTGACATTAACCGCCCTGGTTTATCATGTAAATAGATTGGTCTCAGCTGTCATTACATTTCACACACGAACAATCACTACCTATCACAAAATACAACAGGGGCAAATATATAAATGGTTTAGTCAATGTTTGACAACCTTAGGCAACACAAATCGTTATCCTTATGGTCAAATATGACAATGTATGTCATTACAAGTTTGTACTATTATAGTTCATTACTCAGTTATTACATAAGTGTCATTTAATGTCTCTTCTTCTTTTTCTTCATTTATTTTGTCAGGCCGAATCACGTTTAAACGCACAAAATCAAATTGGTTTAACACCATTAATGGAATCTGTATCATATAATCAACGAGAAGCTGTTAGCTTATTGATAAAACATAAAGATATTGATTTGTATAAAAGAGATTTTTGCACTGGTGATACAGCTTTACATATTGCTGTGAAAAAGAATTATATACATATTGTAGAAATATTATTAAGAGCAGGTAAATCAGTAATCTCTTTACTAGATGATATACAGGATAGTTGTATAATTCTACTTTAAGACTCTTTAACAATAGGGTACACAGTGTTTTATTCTGACATCAAGATCTTCTTAGATCATTCATCTTGTATTATATAGTTTAATTTATTAAGTTAGTTTTCGATTGGATCAAGTCAATCAATCATTGCATCAATGATATCAGTCTCTATGATTCATGATTTTTCATTCAAATCTAGGATGCTATTGATTTCACAGCAAGGTTAATACCTTGAACGAGACCGGTTTCTTTTCTAATAAGTCAAGGGTGAGACTATAACTTATGGATAACCTTTGAGCGACTAACCTTGAGATTTCCCACTTAATAAACAGCACCGAATGACGTTTATCAACCTGTGTGAGGAATTATAACTATAATTTGCAGTTGATGATCAAGGTTAAGAATTAGATTTCGGGTTTTCAACACGAATTGAGATAAGCTCTAATGCCAAAACTGTATTTATCAAAATGGATGAGTGAATTTCGCACAAAAATCCGAGACCTGTTATCTTACACCTGATTGGTTCGTTCATAATTTGTAGTCTCGCTGAATCAAGCGTTTCATTTCGGGCTATAAAAGTTGCTAGGATGATGCATGCCCAGTCGAACTGTCAACGTCCTCAGTTGATAATAATATTGAACACCTGATCCTCGGTTTACGATCAGAATTAATGATGATAGACAACACTTTTAAAGATTCTCAGTGAATACAGTTTTATGATCAGTGTTTCCCTTTATTGATGTGAGTCCTTATCTGAGAATACCTCACTAATTATATAAAACGAACAAGGCAGCTAAATAGTCCGATTTCCGACGGGACCCAACAGTGTTCAAAACAACGAG